TGCCCCTGACACTGACTGCTATTAGCCCACCCCCACCCCTCCTCTACCTTCCCACATCCCGTCTGTGTTTTAGACGAACGTTAATTGATTTCCCTTATCGCTGACATGTTTTTACTTCTTCCTGATCGCAGCTGGCAGGACCATGAGCCGGTGGCCCAGTGATAAAACTTTTACTTTACGTTCAGGTTCAAGTCCCAGGTGCTCCCAGGGTCCAGGGTCCCAGGATCGAGTGGGACTGGCTGATGATGGTTAATGGGCCATCAGATTTAACTCCATTTCTTGCACTGAGGCGAATGTTCGAATTTTAGGTGCATGTTCTAGTAGGGGTGAGAAAATGCTTCTCGTCCGCGAAATCGTCTGTTTATCCGTCTGGGCTTTCGAACTCGTGCCGGATTCCATCGTCAGTGACAAAAGGGGCAGCATTACACGCAACGAGGCAGCATAACACGCGACGGGGAGGCACGACCGGATCAAGCAGTAATGACTTAGAGCTGATGGTAACTGCGAAAGGCCCGATACATAGGCTGACCGAATTCCCCTGCGAGGCCCCGGGCTTCAATCATCTTACCTATCCTCAGGCTTCTCGATCCACACAGCAACCATCCGGTGGCTCACAAAAGAAGGTGTACGAAAAAACTCTCTTGTAGGCTCTAGACTCATCGCACCGGCCCGAAGAAAAAAAGCATGCGCGGACGGATATCTGTGTGAGCATGTCAGTGACGGTCGGGCGCAGTGCCGCGGAACTAAATGTTGGAATTGCGCAACGACCCGATGCTACCAAGCGCGGCAAAGTCATGGAATTCAAGGACAGGTTGAATTTAGTGAATTTTCAAGTTCATTCTATCGTATTCTCTGCCTAAACCCTCCTTTAACTTATACAGGGAAAAGCGAAAGCTTGCTCGGATCGCACGCTAACTCATGAAATGTTAACCGAAATCCCGAAATGCACTCTCGACTCGAAAAGATTACTCAAGTAGGAATACAATATTAACTACCACATTAATCCAGTCATTTCATGGTGCCGGCATGTGAACAAGCTTCTTTTCAGCCGCCTGCAAAAACCACGCTCTATAAAGAATGACCAATTAAGTAGTACGGATTTTTATCATTGATTTTCGACGCCCTTATAATTTGAATTTGAGCCTTATTGTAAACCTTACAAACAGCATTAGTAAATGTAGAGACAGGAGGTTTTATGAACAGGCATTTCACGGTTTTAAAAATCTCATAAGGAGGGACTTTTTTAAAACGGGATTATACCCTTCCTTCAAGGATATCATTTTAAAAGACGCAAATTTCTTCCAATTGAGTAAAATAACGAATGTTTTTATGCATGATTTCTACGAGATGCAGTTGAAATTATTTGGGCACCGAAAATCAATGAGAAAAATGCATGCTTCTTAAGTAGTCCTTTTTTCAGATTGTAGTTAAGCAGGCAACTGAAAGGAAGTCTGTTCAAAAGCAGGCGCCCTCAAACGCCTGAAATATATTGAGATTATGCTGCACGGTAATTAATATCACAACCCTACTTGAGTGATCTCTTCTATTCAAGAGCCCATTTCAGAATTTCGGTTTATATTTCATGAGTTGACACATCTACTCTAGGGTGGGTGGACGAGGGGGTGATTGATTATCACAAGCAGCTGCCCACACTCTCGAAACTGGTTAAGATTCGAACTTAACAGCCACCAAGATAATTGCTTACGTCAAAGGTAAGAAAGGCTGAGAAATGGTTAAAGCCTGGGCCGGGGGTAAAAACAGCCAGTCGGTCTAGCGTTCTGGCGCCGGCTTGCAGAGCCATGCGCAGTCACCTCCAGAACTGTGTCGCTGCTGTCTGATCGGACCATACCCCCTAAAACTGTCGCTTGTTCTGTTGCCGTTTGTATATTTAACTGTGAACTCCTGCATGGATGCGAATACTCGGACTAATAAACAAAGGATTCTATGTCCTATCCGTTCGAGGTATTTTAAGGACAAGTGACCTAGTCAAGTTTAAGACTTGCAAAAGACAAATAGAACTCTTAATTTAGCAAAAACGGGTTGTTTTCTTAACTCTGGAAGAAGTATTCGGTCACCAGCAACCTTAAGCTCACAACAATGTTGAACTAAAATCTGAGCTATACTGGTTCACTCACGCATTTATCGGGCAACACAGAGTCCATAATTACTGACGGACATGCGTTTTATGTTTAGGGAACGTCGACCATTGCGCCTGATCTAATCACTCGCTGGCTGGCTGGCTGGCTTAGACGGTCGACTGATACATGCAAGAAGGAAGAAACAGTGAGGTCGGCAATGAGAAACCCATCCTTACGGCTCGTCGGCGCATCATTTACTCTAATAAATCTGACGCGTCTAAATTTATCACAACTCGCCCAAAGTTGTGACTTAGTGGATTTGCTAACTGAGGGTTTGAATCGGTCGGACCAGAGTGAGGTAGAGCGAGTAACGAGATGTCGTGCAAGTCTGCTCAAACATAAGGAAGCTCACGCTCAGGTCACCGTCTTGGGGTACGGAGTGAACGCAATGGCTTGTTCCGGTCGAAATTTCATACTGTAGACAATGTGCTTACAATTTCATAGAAAGGGCAAACCACTGAATCGCTCCTTTTTTCGATAAAATACAGCTGCTTATCAATATTCCTTTATGATGAAGCATCTACGCGGGAATATTATCTTTTTTAAATTTAATGAAGCATTTTGTTTGAATTCACCGAAAGCATTTAATATATTTTACATGCATTTGAATTGGCTATATTTACGCCAGTTCTGCTTGTTATTCCAGACCAAGGCCGCTTGGGTCATCAAATGGCGCAGTTATTTAATCTCTTTGGGATACGATTATTAAAACACTATACAAATATGCACGAAAAAATTATTTTGGCCCAATTTTCGAAAGAAGAATACGGGCTCCGCAATTTCAAAAGTAGAAACTGCCCTTCCCTGACTTAAACCTTTCTTCCGTAAATAGTTTCTAAACGTACTGCATAGTGATATTCAAAAACAGTTCGTGTCATTTAAAAAGTCCCGAATCAATTTCAAAAGACAAACCGAATATTATGATTCACATTGCCAAGTTAATCCGATAATTAAAGAATTTAAAGAGTCCCCCGAGGCTTACTTATTTTGACCCTTTCTAAGACTCGAGCTTCATACTTTACACAATTTTGTCTAGTAATCCAGTTTTCAAAACTTGCTAGAATATTTGAAAGACTATAATTTTTATCGCCACTACGTCAGTGCTTCTGTAAATGACCAGTTTGTACTGATCATATTTTTTTAACAAGCGCACACCGATTTGACTGTTTTTTTTTGCTCAACCGTTTGTTTGCGTTGTCTGTCCTGCTTTGCTGATTTTAAAGCTAGCCTTCCTCCGAAAGAATGACACATACACTTGGTACTCTGCTTGAAACGAATTTGGAAATAATACAGAGAACTTTGCTAATCTATGCATTTTGGAAAACGCTATTTACAGATTAACCTGCGCAGTCTATAATTCACTGCCGAAATCTCCTCCTTCTTGTTAGTGCTGGTTTTTAATAGCTACTTGGTGGTCAGAGAATTGATCCTAACTTGCTACTGCCAACTTATTGATTATAAATTTTTGATTGCAGCGTTTCCTGTCTTTGTCTATTCATTACAGGCAACTGCGCGGCGATCTTATTCGAAATTTCATGCTGCACACAATGTGTTTGCTATTTCATAGAAAGGGCAAACCAGCTAGTCTCTCCTTTTTTCGAATACATACAGCTGTTTGTCAATATTCCTTTATGTAAAAGTTTCCCTCGCAGGAAAACGATCTTTTTTAAATTTAATGCAGCATTTTGTTTGAATTCACCGAACGTATTTAATATATTTTTGAATTGGTTATATTCACGCCTGTTTCGCTTCTTATTCCAGACCAAGGCCGCTTGAGTTATCCAATGGCGCAGTTATTTAATTTACATGTAATACAGTCATTAAATCACTATACAGATATGCAAGAAAAAAGCATTTTTGGCCCAATTTGTTGACAGACGAATGCAGGACTCGCAAATTCAAAATAGAAATTGGGCTTTCCTGGCTTAAACCTTTCTTCCGTAAACAGTTTCTAAAATTGCTGCAAAGCGATATTCAAAAAACAGTTCGTGTCCTTTGACAATTTCTGAGCCGATCGCAAAAGACAAACCGAATATTATGATTCACATTGTCAAGTTAATCCGATAAGTTAAGAATCTAAAAAGTCCCCCGAGGCGTGCACATGTTGACTCATTTTAAGACTCGAACCTCATACTTCGCACTATTTTCTCCAGTAATCCGATTTTAAAAACTTGCTAGAATATTTAAAAGACTGCACGTCTATCGTCACTACCTCAGTGCATCTATAAGTGACTAGTTTATACTGATTATATTTTTTTAAAAGGCGCACACAGAATTGCAGTGTATTGTTGTGGTACCTTTCCGCTATTGAGAGTTTTTTTCGCTCAGCCATTTGTTTGCGCTGTCTGTCCTGCTTTCTCCGAAAGAATGGCACACATTTAGTACTCTGGTTGAAACAAATTTGGAAATATTGCACAGGGCTCTGCTAATCTGTGCCATTTGGCAAACGCTATTTACAGATTAACCTGTGCAGTATTCAATTCACAGCCCAAATTTTCCCTTTCTTGTTAACGCTGGTTTTTAATCGCTACTAGGTGGTCAGAGCTTTGATCAGAACTTGTTACTGCCAATTTATTGATTATTAATTTTTGACTGAAGCGTTTTCTATCCTTGTCTATTCATTAAGCTTGACAGGCACTTGGCTGTAATTAACAAGAAACAGAGCTCTATTCTATAATTGGTAAGGCAGACTTTATTCAGAAACATAAGCCATATTTGATAAACAAATCGCCTAGTCAAAATGCAGAAACTTGCGTCCAGTTCTTTTAAAGGAGTAGTTCGAAAGTTGACCATAGAGTACTACAAAAGCAGAAAAAATGATTTTGGAAATGAGTTTAGTCCTGGTGAAACGTCAAACATCGCTCAGTCGTCAGTTGTTACAGCAGCTAAGTCCAGACGCCCTGGAAACTCAATTCGAAAGTCTTCAGCTGTTTTTTGAAGCAATTCATCCAGATTTGTCAGAACTCCACCTTCAGCCTTCTCTTCTGTTGAAAGTGGGGCCTCTTCGACCGTACTTTCCAAACAAGGCTCACCGGCAGACGCTCTAACGCTAACCAGAAGACGACCTTCTCCCCACGGCTCCGAGACTGATTCATCAAAGCAACAGTCTTCAATCAAAATAGAGCCGTTTTGAAATTCCACCTCTGCCCTTCGTAAACATTTCTGCGCCTTGGTTGACGGCAGGTTACTGGTGGGATCTTCAATTACAGTCGTCGCCCCTCGCAGATTTGCATAAATTTCCGTAAGAATTCTGTCAAAGAAAATATCCAGAATTTCCTTCGGCGCGGTCACGGAGAGCATGTCTTTTTTGACCCCAGAATCCGCCAAATCAGTCAACGCTAGCTGGGAATCTACTTTCAAGTTGACATTGGTACCAGTGTAGAAGAAGGAAACTTCAGAGTGTCGTGCAGACGCATCGCCTCTAGTGAGCTCAAATCCCAAGTCGAGCATTTCCTTCAGTTTTTCTACCAAAGAATTTGGCAGAGGCCTGAGCTTTTTGCTCAGTTCCTGGTCACCGACAAGATCCACCGATTGCAGACTACTAGCTACTCGTCTCCGCGTTCTGCCCCTGTGAGTCCTCGATTTTCTCGGCTTTGAATGTAGCAGTGGAGCGCACAACTCTATTATATCATCGGCTAAAAGAACCCTCACCAGGGGACTTGGAATCTTGCCGTCCTTGTGCAGGAGGCGAAAGCATAGTTGGGTTTCTTCCACGCTGATATCAGTCAGTGCGCTTATGCGGTTGGAAAAGTGTCTTGGGTCTGCTGTGAGGTGGGCAGCGTAGCAGGCCAGCAGGGAGTCAGCATTTATGAGCAGACTGGCCAATTCACAGAACGCGTCAACCCTGAAAATGACATAATTTTTGAGAAAATGATGTCTCTCCAGCCACAGGGCTCGACCCAATTTTGTCCATGCCTTTAAATAGGTCTGCAAGTCATCGAAGCTGCCCGTCCGACCTGAATGGTAGTCAATTTCTAACCGCTCCAGGGGAATAAATAGCAAATGTCTATGCCTCTGCTGATTCCTGCATAACGCCAGCTCCCAGTCCGGAGGGCAGATGTCCTCCCCGGGTCGGTAGGCTTCATCCACGCAGAAGCAGCGTTCACAGTGAAGCAGGAAGGTTCTCAGCGTCTGCAGGCGACAGAAGACACCCGCGTCCTCCGGTGCCCTCATCGTCTTGAAGAGGGAGCTATGCTTGGAATTCTGTAGACTAATCCGCGTGGCTTTCGTTTGGGGAACTTGCCTCAGGTTTCTTGTGACCGAAGTGTCGTCGTTTGGGGATGACAGACTGTCCGATAATGGGCGGAGCATAATACCCACAAGGCTTACAATTTGTATACGCACTGGTTGCATGGACAAGGACTTAGCGAAGTCCTCTATAGCCGACTGAACAGACGCTTCCACTCTCTTCATCAGGGTTGAGAGTTTTACTTCGCGGAAGGAGGAGAAGGAGAGAGAGGGCTTATAATCGGCTTCTGTCCGACCGCTTTTCCCACCGATCTCCGCCCTGGCTGAGGAGAGCATGTGATCCCCGTTTTGTAGGAGGACAAGGAACTGCAACAGGGCGCCCGGGGCACGCAGCTGTAGGGCCTGAAGGTATGAATATGCTGTGCGTCGAAGGTTTTCAAACTCCGACTCCTCTGCCTGCCAGGAGCTCAGATGGAGTAAGACAAGAAGGAAGGAGTCTGGCCGAATCAAGTGACCAAATAAGGCGTTTGACCGGGCGTGAGCTGGAGATCTGGAGGGTGGTTCTGGCGAGAAGGGCAGATTAATAAAAGTAATTCTCTGTCCTGTGGGCGAGGTGAGGTGATGGGAACTTACACGAGTTTGTTGATGGAGGAGGCGGAAGTCGTCCGGATCCTTTTGCTGAGATGAAAATCTGCGGATCAGATTTATGAAAATTCCTGGCGGAAAAGACTGATATCCCGAGAAGTGCGTGGTGAGACTGGACAGAAAAGCGACTTTCATGCTGTGATTGGAGCTCAAGACAAATACTCTGGCAGCGGCAGCCTTCTGATGTAGAGCCAGTCTACGTATCTGGAAGGCAAAAAGTTGAGAAAATTAAAAGAATTGCTGTACGTGACCTAACTGATGAGGTGTCGAAATTTACGAATGCTTTATAATCACTCGCAAACTGACACCAATGCATTGACCCGGTATCAATATTAATAAAGAACAACTCTAAGGAACTTGAAATCATAAAGGAAATATTAAAAGCAATATTGCATTGTTTAGAAACGTCAACTTTTTCAAAAAAGCTGAAAATGTCGAAAATGTTAACATGGTTGTAGTTTAGTGAATTTTAGTTTTCGTGCTCAGAAGACATGGGCATGCAAAAATACTGTGAAATATGACAGCGCAAATCGAATAATATTTTCGGAATAATTTTATTACGATGTTTACATCTGATCATAAGATCTAAGGCCCCTCTGCCACGAGGTGAAACCACGAACTTTATCTACCGGATTTAGTGTAACTCCTGCGAAGTCAACAACATTGGGGAGACCGGCAAACGACTACAGGCTCGTGTTGAAGAACACATGAGGGCAGTAAGACGAATGGATCCTTTGTCTCTGGTGGGAGAACACTGTGCCGATTCCGGACACACGTTCGCCTTTCAGCATGCCGAAATTCTGGGCCGAGGAGACGACCGCATAGCCAGGGAAACAATCGAGGCTTGGCACATGGGGACATCCTCCATCAGCCGTTGTGTGGCTTTTCCCGATGCCTTCCAAGCCCTTCGGGCGCAGCTCAGTAAACAAATAAGCAGACGTGAACCCAGGTTAAACATGAATCCAGACATGAGCGAGGCCATGGCGGATACACACTCAACCACTCCTCAACCTGGTTCCGACGAAGGCACAGTCGTTACCACAGTCGTTCCATCTACTAGTCCGGCGGACGAGAAAACGGGCAGTCGGTGCGGCCTAAACAAGTCTGCCGGCCTTGGACGACAGCTAAGGTCAATGAAGGTACAAACGACGGCCACCGACGTCTCAACGCCGGCCCCCGAGGTAAACTGTGTACATTCCGTCGCCCTCCCTCCCCCCCCTTCCGCCACAGTCCCTTGCTCGACCACCCCCTCACCCG